GTGGTGTAAATATTATGCAGAAAATTCGGAGTGTGGAAATTAGGAGAAGGTGTGGAGTTAAAAGTATTAGTCAGAGGGCTGAAGAGGGGTTGTTGAGGTGGTTTGGTCATTTAGAGAGAATGGATCAAAGTAGAATGACATGGAGAGCATATAAATCTGTAGGGGAAGGAAGGCGGGGTAGGGGTCGTTCTCGAAAAGGTTGGAAGGAAGGAAGGGGTAAGGCAGGTTTCGTGGGCGAGGGGCTTGGACTTCCAGCAGGCGTGCATGAGTGTGTTCGATAGGAGTGAATGGAGACGAATGGTATTTGGGACCTGACGAGCTGTTGGAGTGTGAGCAGGGTAATATTTGACTCACGAAATCGTAATGATACGATTGCAAACAAACCATACCACGGGCGGGATTGAGCCCGCGGTCAGAGAGTCTCAGAACTCCAGACCGTCGCATTAGCCACTGGACCAGCTAGCCACAATAAGATTCGTCCAACTAAGTATATTTCTACACCATAGGAAGCTTAGCATAGGCACCACTGTGACCACAAATGCAATTTTGTACAGACGAATCTCCAGCTAGCGTGGTCGTGATGAACTCTAGCTCAAGTCCTCTTAATGCCGTCAACATGACTCAGGAAATCGTAATGACACAGTGGCTAACACGACAGTCTGGAGTTTTGAGATTCTCTGACCGCGGGTTCAATCCTGCCTGTGGTATGGTTTGTTTGCAATCGTGTCATTACGATTTCGTGAGTCATGTTGACGGCATTGAGGGGACTTGAGCTAGAGTTCGTCACGGCCACGCTAGCTGGAGATTCGTCTGTAAAAACTTGCATTTGTGGTCACTATGGTGTAGAAATATACCTAGTTGGACGAATCTTATTGTGGCTAGCTGGTCTAGTGGCTAACGCGACGGTCTGGAGTTTTGAGACTCTCTGACCGCGGGTTCAATCCCGCCCGTGGTATGGTTTATAGGGTAATATTTAGTGAAGGGATTCATGGAAACCGGTTATTTTTATATAGCCAGACTTGAGTCCTGGAAATGGGAAGTACAATGCCTGCACTCTAAAGGAGGGGTTTGGGATATTAACAGTTTGGAGGGATATGTTGTGTATCTTTATATGTGTATGCTTCTAAACTGTTGTGGTCTGAGCACCTATGCAAAAACAGTGATTATGTGTGAGTGAGGTGAAAGTGTTGAATGATAAAAGTATTTTCTTTTTGGGGATTTTCTTTCTTTTTGGGTCACCCTGCCTCGGTGGGAGACGGGCGACTTAAAAAAAAAAAAAAAAAAAAAAAGATGGGGTTGTCAAAGAAGTAAATGCTAGGGTGTTGGGGAGAGGGGTGGGATTAAATTATGAGGAATCAGATACAAAATGGGTGTTGACACAGTTACTTGTTGCTGATGATACTGTGCTTTTGGGAGATTTTAAAGAAAAGTTGCAAAGGTTAGTGGATGAGCTTTGGAGGGTGTGTAAAGGTAGAAAGTTGAAAGTGAGCATAGATAAGAGTAAAGTGATGAGGATATCTAACAATATAAAGAAAAATTGGATATCACATTGGAGGGAGGGAGTATGGAAGAAGTGAATGTTTTCAAATAGTATTTGGAAGTTGACTTGTCAGTGGATGGGTTTATGAAGGATGAGGTTATCCATGGAACTGATAAAGGAAAAAAGCTGAGTGGTGCATTGAGGTATCTGTGGGGACAAAAAACATTACCCATGGAGGCAAAAAAGGGAATGTACAAGAGTATAGTGGTACCAATGTTCTATGGATGTGAAGTATGGGTTGTAAGTGCTGCAGTGAGGAGGAGGCTGGAGGCTGGAGGTGTGGAGTTACTAAAAGTATCAGTCAGAGGGTTGAAGAGAGGGTGTTGAGGTGGTTTGGTTATTTAGAAAGGTTGAAACAAAGTAGAATGACTTTGAGAGCGTAGGGATCATTCTCGGAAAGGTTGGAGGGAGGAGTTGAAGGAGGTTTTGTGGGTGAGGGGCTTGGATTTCTATCAAGTGTGTGTGAGCCTGTTTGATAGGAGTGAATGGAGACAAGTGGATTTTGGGACCTGATGAGCTGTTGGAGTGTGAGCAGGGTAATATTTTGTGAAGGGATTCCGGGAAACTGGTTAGCCAGACTTGAGTCCTGGAAATGGGAAGTACAATGCCTGCACTTTAAAGGAGAGGTTTGGGATATTGGCAGTTTGGCGGGACATCTAAACTGTTGTATCTGAGCATCTTTGCAAAGACAGTGACCCGAAAAGAAAGGAAAACCCAAAAAGAAAGAAACAATTTTCAGCATCATTCAACACTCTCACCATCACTCATACATAAATTGTTTCTTTCTTTTTGGGGTTTCCTTTCTTTTCGGGTCACCCTGCCTTAGTGGGAAACAGCTGACATGCTAAAAAAAAAAAAAAAAAATTGAGACTGTGCTTTGAATATAGTTTGTCTAATGCAACTAATGGATTTTGAATGGTTTTTATAGCATTGTAATGATTATTTCTCTGTTACATGAAATTACTTTCAGTAACAGCAAATTGACAGTTAGCATAATGATCAGTTGACAAAGGTTGCGGCAGGAGTTTGAGAAAGTGTTTAGGAAAAGCAAGTTCACAGTAAACATAGAAAAGAGCAAGGTGGTAAGAGTAAGAGGTCCATGCAGTGAAAGAGGATATGTCAGATTGGAGGTAGGTAGTATGGCAGAAGTGAATGTAGTATTTTAATACCTGGGAGTGGATATGATTGCAGTGGGTGTCTGAAATATGAGACGGAAAAAAGTCGTCAACAAAATTTAAAAGTAACCTAAATGTTCTTTCCTTATGCAAAATCCAAAGCATAACCCATCTTGAAATTTATTCCTTTCACTGACAACAAAGAAATGTGAAATTCTGATGATTATAGTATGAATTATTCATTGAACAGTTAAATGCACTGATTGATAATCCACAGGAATTTTTCATAAATAAAGTACTAAACTATGAAAATATTTCTGATATAACCCTAATTTACTTTGGCTTTGAAGATGCATTGATAGCATGCCTACGCACTTCTCTAGGCTTAGGCTCCTGACACAGGCATTGTCCCACAATCTCTAAAAGCAAAGTAGGCAGCAAAGCAGTTGTATAAATTCTAGGCTGATGGCATTAATGTCTTGTATTAGTTTTTGAAGAAGAGTAGAGACAAAATTGCTGAACACATGGAATGGTAATAATTAAACAACCCAGGTCAATTTGGATTTACAATGGGGTGCTCCTGGTTTTGCATGCAATATGTTTACACTATATTCACAAACTGACAAGTTTGCTAATGATGCAATAGCAAACAAAATGTATGCTAAGGAATAACCAGAAAAATGGAAAGATGGCTTTTTAATTTTTTAACAGATCGGCCCCAAAGAGTAATGGTTAACAAAGTACAGTAAACTCGGATTCTTCCATAGTGAAAAGTGGTTTCTTAAGGCACAGTACTCTCCTCAATCCTTTCATTCGCATATCTGATGTAGACAAAGATACAAATCATAAAACACTGTTATATCCTTCAGATTCAGGATGGTACTTTAATTTGTATTAGTGTTATCCATTTAGGACATGGTTAATTTCCAAGCACTTTTACTCTACTACAGTACACTAAAATATTCATTCCTGGGAATACTAAATGTCCCTTGTAGTGGTAACTCCCTAATGCTTGGGCAAGAAAGTTTAATCATAATTTATACATGGAAGATGCTCCAAGGACTAGTCACAAATCTGCACATTAAAAATAATACAGTGCATAATAAAGCAATTTGCATGGTAGCTGGTGCAAAATTTTTCCCACGAAGAGTTGGGGGTGCAGCGACTGCACTGAGGTAATTCAGTAAACACGGAAAGGTTGAAATATTTTCAGTGCTCTCCCACCAGCTGTTAGAAGAATTATCAATACCTCTAACTACCTCTTAAGTGGGAACATGACAATTTCCTGGTTAGCCTGGCTGTGGTTATTGTCAGATTGTATGCAGTGAGTACCAACAGCCTAGCTTGTCAGGATGTTAACAGGAAGTTCTGGTCATTTACTAGGCCACAGGGATCATCCCCAGACCAGTCCAGGTATTTGAAGGTAAACTATTCCAGTCCCATAGGCTATCCAGTCTATTTTTGGAATTGCCAGTGATAATGATTTTTTTTTTTTTTTTTTTTTGTGAAGCACTATTTGTGGGCAACTTGGGCATTGTTTTAGCCTGTTTTAGAATACAAAAGATTCACTTTTCTTCATGAGTTAATTCAGTATAAGTTCAAAGTGAATATTGGTGTATTTCCTGTTTTGTATGGTTATGAGAAAATAGATTGACTCCTCAACAACTCTGCACTGGTTGTACCAAAGACCTTCCCAGGCAGTGTTTTCTGGATTTCTGTTGCTCTAATTAAATTAAACAACCATTGTAAAATACATTTTTTATTTTGTAGTTTTAAGAGGGTAGTTTTATTCTGTGTCTAAAGTACTGTATAAATTTCTGAGTAGATTTCAGAACTAAAAAGTGCCATAGGGTGTGTGGGAAGGGGAGAGTGTTCTAGAATTTCAGGATCTGGAAGGTCTGGCAGAAATGTCATATTTTTCTTAAGTTCCTGAAACTTGGAAGTCCAAATTCGTGGAGTCCTTCGTATATAATGTATATATAGTGTGGGGAAAAAAGTAGAATTTGTTTGTTCTGGGTGTATTCTTACTGCCTGTGTTACATTTGTTTGGCCTTGTGTATTTTTTTTTTTTTTTTTTTTTTTTTTTTTTTTTTTTTTTGCAAACAATGTATGATATAGTAACCATAATCAAACAGTTTTGGAAGTTCAATTCTTGATTAGCATGTGCAGTTAAGTATGATGTGGTATTTTGAACCTCTTAATTCTGCAGCATGTTCTAAGTAATTAGGAGTTACCTTATTTAAAATTGAGTGTATTTTGATGCATTTAGTTTGCTTATTTTTTCACAGTATACAGTATATCAAACTTTTAAGTTGTAATTAGTTACCAAATAATGTAAATAACAGGCATCAAGTGGATACAACAGCGCCAGCAGTAACACGAATGGTCTTTACTACCGAGCAGATCCAGACAATGCAGAGAGATTACGTCGAGAATCGTACTCCTCTACACAGGTCGGGAATCCTTACTAATGCATCAACAGGAACATCACTGCATTCATGGTGCTTTAATGGTGGTGGTTCTGCATTACATCTTCTTTTACGATCTGAGGTCATCTATGTTGTGCTTACTAACAATCTTTGGCTTTTTGTACTCGACATTTCTAACTACTGATGTAAAAAATGGAAGGGTAGTAACGAAAAACCTATAGACTTTTGTTCAGAAAAAGACATTTTAACTTGAGTAATCAAAGAAATTTAATAAATTTTTATACTACTCGGTCATTTTTCCTTCATATATAATTTTTTGCCTAATTAACAATGTTAAGTGTGTCACCCGAGTCCCACAGTGAAATCCAGGCTAAGAGGACTTCCTTAGTGAAAAGAACTATTTATGACTTATCAGCATATTGTACTGCTTGAATAACATTAGTAACTTATAGTACTATAGAGACAAAGAATACATAATATTTTAAATTTGGTTAAAATATTTTAAGGATTGTAAGTTTATCCAAGATTGTAATGTGTCCCAAGATTTTGCATGGTTTCAGCTCTTGTTGCCAGCACGGGTATACTAGTGCTCTAACTTCAACCTGTGATTATAACAAACTAGAATCCCACATTATAAATGTAATGTTGACTTTTCTGCACAGGGAACTGTTTGTTTGGTGACACTTAATATCCTTTAACAACAACTTTGACATTTTGAAGTTGTGTACTGTTAATTATTATATGCTAATAAAATTTAACTTCCATTGGTATGATCTACATTTTTCAGCAGAGTAAAAGAATTTTGCCAGTGAAGGAAAGTCATCTAAAATAACATCACTCTTACTTCTTCTTTCGTGCTGATTGAATTATTTGTACCTATTTATTATGTATTTCTTTGTATTTTTGAGCTTAATTTGTGGTTCACATTGTTTATCTACATATGCTTATGTAAACATGTTTGTTGTCAGTGGAAAATGTTTGTCTTAATAGCAAGATCTATGTTACTCTGCTTTCAGCTTCACCTTCCTCACAAACTAGTATACTTTTTCAACTCTGAAGAAGATTCATATACATTTCAGAAGAAGCTTTATTGGGACATTGGTTTGCTCTGTTGAGAGCTTTATCAAGTCATGCAGAAATTTAAAAATTACATGCCCATATACAAAGCTCTTTACAGAATAAATTGTCGCAGTCAAGCTTGTTCTTCATGGTGTGTCTTTTCTTCAATTTGTCAGCAGTATGCCATTTGAAGCCATCAGTTCTAACTGTTTTATGCATCTAAAAATGCTTCCCTTTATATTTTCAAGCATATGCCATCAGCAGTGTGGTTTGTTGAAAATGGTATAAAATACTGACAAGTTGATTAGTGAGACACGTGCAACACTTGGGTATCGTTATGATATCCAACTTTATGAAAAAGATATATACTCAGCTGTTGCACGTGTGTCTTACTCATCAGCAAAATGGTTCTTAAAGATTATTAAAACTGTAGCATGTAGGGGAAGGGGGGTAAAGAATGGAGTGAGTGATATAGTATCACCAAGGCTGGAAGAGGAGCATGCATCCTAATGCATCAAACTGCAGGGTTGAGCAACTGGATTATTCCTAGGCTCAAAATGTTCCATTTGCTCTCAGCATTGATCCAATTATTTTTAAATTCTGAACTGATTTAGGGGGACCACCTCAAGTAATCAAGTAATAAGGTTGAGAGAAATTACAAATGATTGTGTGCAATTATAAAACCTGTGCTGACAAAACCCAGAAGCAGAACAATTGTAGTATGCAAATTCTAAATGCTTTTACTAAATTGTAACATTAAAAATTTTATCTTAACTCTTTTAGGGTCCAGAGCCCTGATCTGAAAATTGCTCTCAGGGCACAAGAATTAAAAAAAAAAATTCTTGTGAAATGATAGAGAATCTTTTTCTGAAGGTAATGAAACCAAAAGTATGAAATTTGATGGAAAACTTGTGGAATTATGCTCTCACAAAGTTAGCTGTCTTAGCAATATTTATGTATTGGCGATTTTGCCTACTTTGAGTCTTAGTTTAGGCCGATTCCATTGTTCCAGTCAACCAAGCTCGTAGCTATTTTAATTGTATGCCTTCCATTCTTTTGACTGAGCGTAAAAAACCACCATTTAACTATTTCATCTAACCAATACAGTGATCAGAGATTAGTAATTTGGTCAGTTTCACACAAAATTAAAAAATTGATAATTTAAAAATAGGGTCCAGAATAAATAATGTAGACATTCCTGGCACTAAGATAACAATTCCTCTGTTCATTAGTTATGTCCCCAGGACTTGCTTTCCATTTTTAATTTTTATTCGCACAAAAAATAGAAGATTTACTGTTATGCAGACTCCTGCATTATTGTAATAATTGTATGAATAATGTCAGCGCATTCGTGAATGTGTATTAGACCAATCAGTTGGATGTGTATTTGGTGAGTGACTTAATTTGTGTCCTTTGGAATATCGGCAGCTAATTTGAACTCAATTTCAAGCTACTTCCAGTTATAAAACCAATAAAAATCCTCTCTATTTCTACAATATATCTTCCATTCTATCAAATGAAACCAAGAAACTGAGAATACAACCATAAAAACCATTCAAAAATACACTGCAAAGTTACTGTTTTAAACCAAATACATCCTCTCCTCGCTTAACGACGGGATTCTGTTCCAAGAGTAGGTCAGTAAACGTACTGCTCATTAAGCAAGGAGCATACTATAATGGTAGTAGGTTTCTGTCAACCATCTTTAGAGAGTTTATTAATGTCACCTTTGCACCATTTATATTATTTTTAGTATATTTTTAAATGTTTATACAGTAGTGTACTGTATACTGTAAAAAACAGAATAGAGGAAATCAGCTCTAATATACATTACTTAGGTTTGCATACAGGTTGGAGAGATGGTCATAAGTCTGAGTGGTCCCAGTGGTGAGAAGAGGCTGTGCATGGTCTGTCCCCCCCCCCTCCCCCCCATCATGCACTGCTTGAGGGCAGAATTTTTTTTTTATATGGTGCACACTCACCACATAGATCCATTCTCTCATATCTAGGCTCAAATTTACCACTCATTTCTTATCTGAGTGAGCTGTTTTAACCTTTAAGGTTTAATTAAGATACAATCGAACCCCAGATTTCGTCCAGTGTGGATATTGTACAATTCGGATTTCGATCACTTTTTTGGGCGATATTTTATCCCAGGTATCGTACCTCCGCTTGGAAATCGTCCATGCCAGACGTGTCCGCCTGGGCCACTCATACATTCGTGATACTAATATTTTAGGTTAATGTAGACATTTTCATTAATCCATCTATAATATTTTCTTCAAAATTACATAAACACGTTACATAGCATTTAAATATGCCTTTGTTACTCGTTCGCTAAGTGTGTCCCCTCTAGTCTTAACGCCATAGTAATAATACTAATATGTACGTAATAATAATTTCTCATGGGCACATTAAATATCTCATTTTAGGTTAATATAGACATTTTCATTAATCCATCTATGATATTTTCTTAAAAATTATATAAGAAACACATTACATAGCATATAAACATGCAATGTTTATATGCTGTGGAGATGTGCTAGCCAGGCAGAGGGAAAATATTACGTTTTCTCTGGTCCAGCATCAGAGAAAACGTATATGAATCTGCGTTGGCCCAGTCACTGCCCTTAATACATAACTCTTTTGTTTACAATTCTGAGCATGAATTATTCATTACTTCTCCTTTTATTTATGATGGCATCTAAAGGTAGTTGTTAGAAATGATTAAACTTAGTGAACATGGTATGTTCATGGTAATAATATGGCTCTGGGTCGCATTAAATATTGTGTAGTTAGGATGCGGAAGAGTTGGTGGAGAAATATCACCCTAACAAAGCTGTTGCAAGCCGTGTCTGCATGGTCCAGTGACTCTCAAGCTGGTCCTAGTGCCAGTAAAAGACAAAGAAGGGAAGTAACCCCGGATAGGGCTTTGATACCTGAAGTCTTTTTGGAGGGAGATTCCCCTTCCAAACAATAACCTCTCCTCCCTCTTCCCTCCTTGCCGTCTTCCATATGCCAGTAAGTCTCTTCAATAAAGGTAAAAGTGATTTAAATGTTCATTTATCCATTAAAATTAGGCATTTATATTTATTTCTCGTTGTTTTCTGCATGTAAAACTATAGTTATTCTCCATAAAATTTATTTTTTGTTAATATTTTTGGGTGTCTGGAACAGATTACTGTAATTGGATTTACATTATTTCTTATGGGAAATATTACTTTGGTTTTCATCCATTTCGGATTTTGACCAACCTTCTGGAACAAATTAAGGACGAAAACCGGGGTTCCACTGTATTACAAGGACCCCAATGAAAATAAGTTACTCTCTCTCGACTTTTTTTTTGGGGGTTATCCTAGGTAATCTACACTTGTGCAGCTATGTGTGATAATTTATGTAACTATTTGTGTACCTATACCTGAATAAACTTACTTGCGTAGTACTGTGGCTTAGGCTCTGAACTCAAAGCCATAGTACTACTGCTCGGACCTCGAAAGGGTTGAGAGATTCACAGCAAAACAATGATATGTAACTGCTTTTCATTCCCTGTTAGTAAAATATAATTTTCATTGTGGGGAGGGTGCAGTTTGGTGGGCTGTCTGAACAGTCATGTCAGTACACTTGTCGCCAGGCATCTATTGAATGAATGACAGTAAATTTGTTTCCTCTTTTAATAAAAAACTCCTCAGAACAGAATTAATTGTGAGATTGTTGTGTAATTTTAATATTTAATATTTTTAAGTAATGTAATTTTGATTGATGGACCACATAAATGAGGTTGAACTTTTCCAAACTTTGCAACAATTTCTTTTTAAACGTTTGAAGCAAAAATAATATAAGGATAGAATGTTCCATTATGTATGTTGGGGTGGGGGAGGGGGGCAGGCATGTTTTATTGGGAGAAATAGGGAGAGGAATGTGTGTATGGGAGTGGATGTAAGTGGTATGGTTTGTGAGCCAGCTGTGGGATGTGATTGTGAGGTGACTGTGAGCATAGTTGATTGTTCTTGCAGGGCTGGGTTTGAACATGTCTAAGTTGTGGTCTTTTCTTGGTAAAAAAAAAAATTATTTTCTCTTGACTACTCCTTGGTTCTCTTCATATGTTCCTCTTTTTTTTTTTTTTTTTTTTTTTTTCTAAATTCCTTTGTATTTCTTTGGATTTTCTCAAGGTTCAGTAAAATCAATTTAACAGGTTTTGGATTTAATAGACAAACTATATTGTCTTCACAGAGTCTAGAAATGTTTCCGGAAGAGAATTATCTATTATTGTTATGGACCACTGGGTAAATTGATTTCAAATTTAATGGACAAAGTTTGTGCCCTAATTGTCCGTTATTGTTACACTTGTGAAAAAATAATCTCAGCATTTGGATTTAATGAACAGTTGGCATTACCAGGCAACCTTTCTCTTTTATTAGTACATTAAATCAAGGTTTCATTGAATAGCAGATTGGCTTGGAAGGACTCCAGTAGTTTGGGAACCCCCATTATAATAGCTCTGTCCCTGTTTGTATTCTTTTTCGAAAGTCTAGGTGTAAGCTATCTCTGATCTCATTGTTTCAAGTACGGTATTACTTCCTGGAGTACTTGCTCGATTTCTGTTTCGTACCTAAAATACTGTATTGACGAAGCTCTTACTATTCTTTGTTCACTGCTACCTCTTCTATTTTTTTCACACATCACCTTTCTCATCTACCAGCCTTTCATTGTTTTCACTTAATTGGTCATAAAATGAATCCAGTTTTACTCATAAGCTTTTTTTTTAGATATTCCCTTATCTCTGAAATTTTCATTCACTTTTACTATATATTATAGCAATTCTTCATTGTTCTTGGAATGCTAAACTTGATACCTTGCATCAAATTTGTAAACGTTACACCCCATCATCCCTAATGTCTACCTATCATCTTCTTCCCTCCTGCCTTCTATTATCATACCACCCTCCTCCTTTCTATTATCATACCACCCTCCTGCTATCTATTATCATACCACCCTCCTGCCCTCTTATCGTCCCATCTCTTCTGCCTGCTCCTATCTCGCCCCTTCCTGCATGCTCCTGTCATCCTCCTTCCTACCAACTTTAGTCTCCTCCCCACACCCTCCTTCCTGCTTGTATCTTCCTACCTCTCCCTGCCTACTCTCGTCTCCCCCTCTTCTCAATACTCTTATCAACATACCTCATTTCTGTCTTTAAAGAATTTCTTTTTTATCTAGTCTTTATCATATTGTTTTTCACTTCAGTCTGTTGATTGATTGTTAGTTATCAGGTTGCTGTGTAACATGTGCTAAAGATACTTAATATAGTTGTATGTTGTAGTATAAATCTGAATAATAAATAGCTAAGTATCTGCTACTTATATTTGGCCATAGGTGATGTGTACCTGCTGTCATAGTTATGTATGGATATTTTGTATTAAATTGTATCTTCAGGTGTTGCATTTGTACTTTACCCAGAATTGTAAAGGTTTGTTTGAGTAAGCACTGAGTATAAGTATGTACCAGAATAATGTGAGGTAGGGAAGTGTGTTTTGGAATTGTGATATGAATAGGATTGCTAGGTGAAAGTAAAGTAAAAGAAAAGGTTTGAAGAGAAAGAAGGTGGTTATTAGATAAGATGATTAAGATTTCTTACAAAAATAAGATTTTGACAAGATATATAAAATAATAATGGTAGAATTACCGACAAAATGTTAGGTAAATGGACACAGATGCAACTAATGTGACATTTTATTGTGGCAGTGTTTCGCTCTCCAGAAGTTTGACAAAACTGGATGGCGAAGCATTGCCACAATAAAATGTCACACTAGTTGCATCTGTGTCCATTTACCCACCGAGATAGATTTACGTATTTAAGTTTGTGCTAGGCAAAATTTTGTGTGACTCCAAATTTGCTTAATCTGAAATGTCGCACCTCTGGCAAAGTGGCTATTGAAAGAAGGCATGGCAAATATATTTCATTTGGGTCACAGTGCCTTTGTAGGGAAACTACCTGTGAGGTTACAAAGAAAATGCTGTTGATCAGAAGACCCTGAAGAAAAGTATTGGATTAATTTGGACTTAGTGTTACTCAGATAAGATGACAAATTTTATTGTATTGTTGTAATGCATGCAGGTGTAGGGAAAAGATGAGAAAACACAATATGTAGTATAGAAAGCTTTAGGCATAGATTGGGTTTATGCGAGTGTTGAATATCTATGTGATCTGTATTATTTTAAAGATTTCATTTGAATTAATTATGTTTATCCTTTTTTTGTTTGTGTATATTTCAGAGCCCCTCTCGTCGTAGCAGTCAAATTACCGCTGAGGCCGACTCATCAGCAGATACTCGCGGGTATATACGCTCTCCTGAATCATCATGCACTCACAATGCTGACTATGAGTACGACTCACGCAATGCTAACTACCTGAGCCGGGAAGACACGGCTCCCAGGTATACCAACGGCACTAACAACTCTCCCCTCACCCCAGATAATATTGACAGCAATACCACTAACAACAACCCACTATGCCCCCTTCAGTGAGTACACGCTAGAAAGTGCATGATGACTGGCTCGAGATGTGCACACCCACCAGTACGTGCATGGCATCCATGACTGCATGAGCGTTGGACGTACATGAGCCCAACTATCTTTTGTGATGGCAGTAACAGCTGTTACATTATTCTTATTTTGGTTGTATTATTTACACATTTCACTGAATAGTTGGGATGTGAGTATATTTCCTGCTTTTTATTGTTAGTGGATATGTCTTTAATATATGGGTTCAAGAATTTACAGTGCTCCATAAACATACAGTAGAAATATTTTTTTTTTAAATTATGTACAATAACATCTCCTGTAATGTGTTCTATAAATCATTTTCGTTATATTGCAACACTGTTTATGTAGGTTTTCTTGCTTTATGAGGGCTTGTTGTATTCTGATTCACTTAGTGTATATACATTGATACCATTGGTGCCAGAGCTATGAGGGTTAGTGTAAAATAGACCATGGAGAGCAAGGACTCAATAAGAAAATACTATATCAACATCTATTGTCCAAGACTATTCACTCTATTACCAGCAGGTATCAGAAATATTGGAAGAACGGGTATAGATATTTTTGAAAGGGAATTTCATCACTGCCTCTCCCAAATGCTGGATTGACTAAGCTATGATGGATATATGAGCTAAAGGGTTGCCAACAGTAACAGCCCAGTTGAACAGATAGTCAACAGGAAAGTCTTGCCCCAGGCTAGGCTGTGAGGATGAAGACACTCTTGAAACTGGTCATAGGTATATCTACCAGTATTGGCTTTGTGAAGTATGAAGTCAGTTATGCAGTTAGCGTAAATGTGGGTGGATGCTATAATTACCGTACCTGTTTGTAGCTATAGGGGCAGAGCAGATCTTGTGAGCCAGGAAAGACTTATGAAGGGATTCAGGGAAACTGGTTAGCCAGACTAGAGTCCTGGAGATTTGAAGGGCAGTGCCTGCACTTAGAATGGGAGGTGGGGATAGTAATATGAATTTACAGTAGTTGTGAGCATGCTTCTGGAAAGACAGTGATTGAATGAATGATTATGAATGTGTTTTCTTTGTTACCCTGCCTTGGCAGGACATAAAGATTTGGTCTTATAATCTTGACCTATACACGGGTATATACTGTATGTATGAATAACATGTATGTTCAGTAAAGGTGGTTTAGATTAGATCTAGAAAATCAGTTCATATGGCAGCCTTTTGTTAAGATCAGTTTTTTGTAGTACAAGTCGGCCATCACTAATCCAGCATCATTGGGACCTGTAGTGTGCCAGATTAGTGAGTTTGCCGGTTAGGTTAGAATACACTTAATTAACCTATCAATAGAGAGACTTTCTGCTACATCTTCTTCATTCTCAGCACTGCTTTCTCCTCCACTGGCTTGCTGCTGTGGATTTACAACCATCTACACAGTTTCTGTGTCAGTATGATGATGAAATTTGAGTCGGTATAATGAATTGAGTCAGAATAGTGAAATTTGAATTTACGCTAGCCGAAATTAGTGCCGAATTACCGATGAATTACTGATTGCCGGATTAGTGGTGGCTGACCTGTATTAGGGAGTTAATTCTCAAGCATATACCAAAAGACATTACAGGCAAATTAAATTGCTGTACATTTCAAATAAATTGGCATGGGATATATAATAAGTTCAGTTTTTGTAGTTGCAAGCCCAGGAGTTTGCTTTAGCTCTTTCTTTAACATGTTATGTAGGACATTAGTCTGAATTTGAGGTAAAATGTGTTGTCACTGCACTAAACCATTACATTAATAGTCATTGATATAACTAACAAAAAACATTCTGCCACTAAAAACATTCTGCCAGAATATTTTTAGTGAATGTTGTTTGGCTGGGTTCACTTGAGTTTTGATGGGGTTCATTAGTAAACAAGGATTGAACTGAATGGTACCTCTGAGAAAGGTAATTTCCAGAACTGATCATCATTGAGAAAGGGATTCCTTGTACATTACAGTTGTAAAAAAAATTATTTTCTATATCCATCATTCAGAATCCTAACCTGATTTTGAGTAATTTATTAAAGTCATGCAATGCTTTTCGTGCAAAACGATGATTTCCTAAACAAAGTGTGCCTCATTACAGGAGATTTTATGGTAAATACCATTAAGTTACTCTGAATATTTATTTTTCATTTGATAATGAACATACTGTCTTAGTATAGTATATGTGAAGAATTATATTCTATTGTCTGATTGTCATGGAATATTACAGATTTACAAACTATCCACTTCATTTCTGTTTAGGATGATTTGCCAGAGAAATTTTCTTGTTTAGATATTCCTCTTGATTTTTGGCAGACAGGCTCAGTGTTCTGTATTAAGTTGAATATATGTATAATCCAGCCAAATTGGTACTGGACATTTTATATCAAAATAATTTTGATGAATATATTGAGGAATATTCATCTTTTTTTTATTATGTAATTCTTGTAGCCCTGAGATACTGTACAGTAGGGCCCCACTTTACGGCGTTCCGCTAATACAGCGATTTCAAATTATGACCAAAATTTGCTATACTGCAATGGTCTTTCAAATACAGCGTGCCCCACCCAGTTTGTTTACATTCTCCGTGAGTACATCTATTATGTCTGGAAACTTACCAAAATTTCAAGTGTTTTACAAGCCACCGTGTTTGACGTATTTTTTTTTTTTTTTTTTTTCAACAAGTCGGCCGTCTCCCACCAAGGCAGGGTGACCCAAAAAAGAAAGAAAATCCCCAAAAAGAAAATACTTTCATCATCATTCAACACTTTCACCACACTCACACATTATCACTGTTTTTGCAGAGGTGCTCAGAATACAACAGTTTAGAAGCATACACATATAAAGATACACAACATATCCCTCCAAACTGCCAATATCCCAAACCCCTCCTTTAAAGTGCAGGCATTGTACTTCCCATTTCCAGGACTCGAGTCCGACTATATGAAAATAACCGGTTTCCCTGAATCCCTTCACTAAATATTACCCTGCTCACACTCCAACAGATCGTCAGGTCCCAAGTACCATTCGTCTCCATTCACTCCTATCTAACACGCTCATACACGCTTGCTGGAAGTCCAAGCCCCTTGCCCACAAAACCTCCTTTACCCCCTCTCTCCAACCCTTTCGAGGACGACCCCTACCCCGCCTTCCTTCCCCTATAGTAGGTTGGTAAACAGCAACCGCCCAGGGAGGTACTACCGTCCTGCCAAGTGAGCGTAAAACGAAAGCCTGTAATTGTTTTACATGATGGTAGGATTGCTGATGTCTTTTGTCTGTCTCATAAATATGCAAGATTACAGGTATGTCTTGCTACTTCTACTTACACTTAGGTCACACTACACATACATGTACACATTTATTTATACACACTCATCTGAGTTTTCTTTGATTTTATCTTAATAGTTCTTGGTCTTATTACTTTTCCTTTTATATCCATGGGGAAGTGGAATAAGAATCTTTCCTCCGTAAGCCATGCGTGTTGTAAAAGTCAACTAAAATGCCCGGAACAATGGGCTAGTAACCCCTTTTCCTGTAAAGATTGCTAAAAAGAATAAGTTTGACGTATATATACTCATAAATTCTAGTGGCTTCAAATCAAGCAGGAGAAAGCTTGTAGGCCTAAATGTGAGAGAATGGGTCTGTGTGGTCAGTGTGCACCATATAAAAAAAATCCTGTAGCATGCAGTGCATAATGAGAAAAAAAAAACTCCGACCTCTTTTTTTTTTTTTTTTTTTTTTTAAATTAAAATGCCGACTTTGTGGTCTATTTTCATATAGTATTTATGGGTTTATTCTCGTTTTCTTGGCCTCATTTGATAGAATGGAAAACATATTGTAGAAATAGAGGTGATTTGATTGGCTTTTTTATAAAAAGAACCTGGAAATGGAGCTCAAAGTAGGGGAAATGTTTGATTTTTGCCGATGTTCAAAAGTAAACAAATGATGTCATTGCCCAGTAAATGTCCAACTAGCCATTCTGATATGCAGTCATGAATGGGTTGACATTATTTGTACAAATATTACAGTATTGCAGTAGTCTGCATAACAGTAAATCTTCTATTTTTTGTTTGAATAAAAATTCAAAATAGAAAGCAAGAGTAATAGAGGGGCCTGGAGACGTGACTGATGAACAAAGAAAATGTTTTTTAGAGCCAGGAATGTCTGCATTGTTTATTTTGGACCTTATTTTGAAATTGTCATATTTTTTAATTTTCGTGAAATTGGCCAAATTGCAAATTTCTGACCACATTTTTGGGTAGTTGAAATCGGCAAATGGGCAGTTTCTTGTACTCGATTGCTAGAAAAAAGTTCTAAAGAAATAGCTATGAGTTTGGCCGACTGGAACAATGGAATTAGTCAAAAATAGGGCTCAAAGTGGGTGAAATCGCTGATTTGTAAATATTGCCAAGGTCGCTAACTTCGTGAGAGCGTAATTCCGCCAGTTTTCCATCAAATTTCGTTTTTTTTTTTAAGTGTCATTACAATCGGGAAGAGATTCTCTATCATTTCATAAGATTTTTTTTTTTTTTTTTTTTTTTTTTGGCGACACCTCAGGATTGGGGGTTGCGACAGTCAAGGGGTTAAAATTATTGCGTATTTTATGTGTACTCTGATAGTTATGCTTATGTGTACCTGTGCCTAAATATACTTACACACTGTACTGGCGTGCATGTACACATTAAAATCACCGAGTCTCTCTACTCATGACACCATAGTAATACTACATAATAATAATCTCTTGGGCACATTAAATGTCTTATTTTATGTTAATATAGACATTTTCATTAATCCATCTATAAAATTTTCTTCAAAATTATATAAGAAACACATTACATAGCATATAAACATTATACATACACCCAAAGAATAAAAATTGACATATGAGATTTGTTTACAAAGCTGCTTTGTAGGAGTGTCGGAAGAATTGCGTTTTCTCTAGTCAAACACTGGGGGATAACTGTAGATAAATATTCCTTTCATATGCCTTCACTTTGTATATAGCAATTCACGACTCTTGTGGGTTTAGTGCTTCTTTTTTATTATGATTATAATAATAATAACTTGTAATAATAATAACTTTCTCCATGGGGAATGGAACAGAATTCTTCCTCCGTAAGCCATGTGTGTCGTAAGAGACGACTAAAATGCCGGGAGCAAGGGGCTAGTAACCCCTTCTCCTGTATACATTACTAGAATTAAAAAGAGAAACTTTTGTTTTTCTGTTTGGGCCACCCTGCTTCGGTGGGATATGGCCAGTTTGTTGAAAGAAGAATAATAATAATAACTTGTAATAATAATTTGTAATAATTATAATTATAATAATGTAGGTAGTAGGTTGGTAGACAGCAACCGCCCAGGGAGGTACTACCGTCCTGCCAAGTGAGTGTAAAACAGAAGTGTGTAATTGTTTTACACGATGGTAGGATTGCTGGTGTCTTTTTTCTGTCTCATACACATGCAAAATTTCAGGTACGTCTTGCTACTTCTACTTACACTTAGGTCACACTACACATACATGTACAAGCATATATATACACACCCCTCTGGGTTTTCTTCTATTTTCTTTCTAGTTCTTGTTTATTTCCTCATACCTCCATGGGGAAGTGGAACAGAATTCTTCCTCCGTAAGCCATGCGTGTTTAAGAGGCGACTAAAATGCCAGGAGCAAGGGGCTAGTAACCCCTTCTCTTGTATAAATTACTAAATTTGAAAAGAGAAACTTTTGTTTTTCTTTTTGGGCCACCCTGCCTCGGTGGGATACGGCCGGTTTGTTGAAAAAAATAGTAATAATTTGTCAGAGCATCATTCCTAAAAATTACATGAGAATGGAAGTGTTGGTCTTTATTTATTCTACTGTACCACTGTGGAAACAACTTGTACACAATATAAGGCGTTTGTATGAATGTTTATGAACCATAACCAGACACATTGTCTGTTTATTTACATGGTGGGGTGGCCAGGCATGCTCCTCTACACTACCTTACCTACCACACGACTTTCTACAAATAAATACTTTTCACCTTTTACCCTACATTAAGACTTCAAATAATTTAAGATAAGTATTGATTGTACTGTATATGCATTTTATCACTCTATGAAGCCTTAAGCATCGTCGTAATATATTATGCGTGGGTTGGGGTGGCCAGGAGGGCTACCACACCTAACTTCTTACAGTAAATACTACTCGCCTTTTGCCCTACATTAAGACTACAAATATTTGGAGGTAAATGATGAGTGTACTGTGTGTGTGTTTTACTTTTGATTGTTTTTATGCCTAGTTCTATTGCGAACTTAATATATGTTAGTGTAAACTTATCTGGCATTTATATGCATTTATAAGTGGATAAAATGGCATTCTGCTTTCCGACAGTAGCGTGGAACCTAACCTGCCGTGTAAGTGGGACCCTACTGTATTTAAAATTTTTGTTTATTAGAGATTCACACTTTATCTGGCTTAATTTTTTAACAAGGTTGAACAAGGGAATCTGTTATACTGAAGTTATTTAATGCATGTAGTCTCAGCAGACCTTTTAAATCTCTCAACAGGGTATTGCTAATACTGTAGTACAGTTGGAAGGCTGTTCATGTAATGAATGAATATACTGTGACAACCATTGTAGCAAATCCTGTGATAAATTTTATCCAGATAGATGAAATTTACTGCCATTATTTAGTTCATAATACTGATAATTGATGATTTTCAAGGGAATGAGGGTCTTTTGCCCCAGTGAATGGTCTCTTGCTCTGAGGAATTGAATCTGTTATCTCCTTCCTCAAGTTCATTCTAAATACCACCAACCTTGGCTTTCCCAGTGGGATAATTTTCCCTCTTTTGCAAAATTCAGCACCTAGACAAAGGGAAAGGGATCACTATTAGCCTTGTTCTAACATATATTCTGTTGGTGCACAATGATAGCCACTTCACTCCACTTGCTGGACGCTGGGTCACCTTTGACCATGCCCTATTATCCTCCCGGGACTCCCCCTCCCTTTCCATTCCCCAGTGAGCCATCGTGTGGCCATCTAGTAGGTCCTCTGATGATGGAAATACTGCTGAAGGTTGCCTATGAGTCTGGGAGTACCAACTGAAGGTGTATAATTCCTGGTATACTTACCATAATAATTGCAGTTTGTGCACTTAAATTAAATACTGAATATTATGGCTTGAGAATGAATCTCCAATTATAACATGAAGTTCTATGGGAAGATAGGTTCAGTGTACTGTAATGAATTTTCAGAAACACATTACTGTCATAAGATGGGGTCCTACTGTACCAGACTAATATAGCTAAATTGACATTCAGTGGCCATTAACTTCCTCCCTCGGTATATGCAACAGGTTAATGCTTGCTGGTGAGGGTACTCAGATCAATATTTCAATAATGATACAAATGTTGGCTTTGTGGCCACTTGGAAAAATATTGCAGGTCACCTGAAGAATCCAGTCCATGGAGAAACAGTTCATTGTAATCCAGATTGTGACTACCCCTTCCCCTTTACCCTTCCAGTTTTAACTGCAAAGCAGTGCATCCCTTGTATTCTTGTTGGTACACTGTTTTTCTTCAGGAAAGTAAAATTTAGTATTTGAAAGAGAAAGATTTGTCATATGTCGTAAGATTAAATTTGCCTTCCTTTGTCAAATGTCATTCAGTCACAGGATGATTGTGGAAATGCATATTAAAGATGCTAATCTAAAACTGTTTAATGTCATTGTAGTGTCCCCACCTCTCTAAAAGTCATCCATCTTAATTGAGCTTAATTAAAACTTTAGTTCATTTTACTATGTCCTAACATACATTTGAACTGCCCACCTCGCTGCAGGTGCCACCTTGGATACAGACTCCCTCTGACTTTTTAACTGAAACCAATCAGTTGCATTAACAACGAGGTAGATTTTACTTCTTCACTAACCCCTTACAAATTAAACTACCCTTTGCACTGTATAACCTACATGGGTTTGGTGCTTATTCTTGATTCTAGTAGTAGTAGTAGTAATAATAGGAGTGAATCGAGACAAATTGTTTTTGGGCCCTGACAAGCTGTTAGAATGTGAGCAGGGTAATATTTTGTGAATGGATTCAAGGAAACCGGTTAGCTGGACTAAAGCCCTGGAGGTGGGAAGTGCAATGCCTGCACTTTAAAGGAAAGGTGTGGGATATTTGCTGTTTGGAGTGACATCTAAACTGTTGTATCTGGGTGCCAATGCAAAGACGGTGATTATGTGTGAATGCTGGTGAAAGTTTCTATTTTGGGTCACCCTGCCTTGGTAGGAGACAGCCGATGTGTTAAAAAAAATAATAATATGTTTGCATTTAATTAAGCAAGTATTATGTAGACAAATTTTCAAAATAATTAATCCATACAAAATATGTGCAGTGTATATGGATCTTAAAAATAACCCAGTTATGTAAGTGTTTAAAAAGTAATTACCTTTTTTTTTTTAAACAAGATTAGCTTAACTTTTATTAAAATTAATATTTTCATGGAAGGTATGGCATATAAGACAGTGCTTTATAAAATCACGCTCTTTATTTGTATTGAGGTTACAAATTTTTAAAAATTTAGCATTACTGGAGAGTGAGGATATATAGAAATGCATTCCTATCAATATTATCACTGATATTTCATTTAAACTAAGAGTTCCCTTTTCTTCCCTAATCCAGTAGACGTGCAGCTCAAGAACGTGATCAACGATGGGTATGTATAAATTGAATTTTGTTTAATGTTATTTGTACAATTTTTTCTCAAAAATGTTTTGACTGTCTATGTTGCTTTTACTATATCTTTTATGATGGTATTCATAGAGCCAGTATAACATAGCCTTAATTTTCTTATTAATTTTGTTTAAAAAAGTTGTAAAATAAATCTGTCTTTGTTGGAGTAGGGAATAGTTACCATATACACTCAAGTACTGAACAAGGTTTCAAGAACACATTTTTAAAGGGAAAAAGTAATACTTTTAAGAAGTTAAAATCCTTACATTTTGAGGGCCTACCATATGCTAGAGTCCTGCTACTTTTTTAAGCATATTTCAACATAAATCTACAAAAATTTTTTTATTATTCAGTATTAAGGAAAATGGAGAGGACAACGACTCATTGTGGTAATGGTAATCATCCCCATGGGAACGTGGATTTTATAGGGATTGGTCATGTCCGTTAATGGTGCACAGGAAGTTATGCTAAGTAAGCAAGTTGTGAGTGGCCCTCATAGAAGGTTTTGTCTTTGATATTACCTTAGAGAGAGAGAGAGAGGGGGGGGGGGGATAAAACTACCCATAAGTAGTTAGGAAATATTGTTGAACAAGTAAAAAATATTAAGGTTTCTCTTATGGAGATTGAAAGAAGTTGATGCTGCAGATATTTTGGTTTGCTTTTTATGTTTGCAACATTATATTTTGAAGAAGAAAAAATGAAACTATTATTGTTACAGTAGCTAAGGTTGTTATTGAGTAAAATAATTTTAGTACAGGAGGGTAACAAATATTTTTTATTATTGTGAGAACATAAGTCTGAAAGTGTTGAATGACGATGAAAGTTTTTTCTTTGTTTTTGGGTCACCCTGCCTCAGTGGGAAATGGCCGACGTGTTAAAAAAAAGTCTGAATAGGATTAGTTGATTATGATACCTGGTTTATCTTAATATTTGTTATGGCTAATATTAATATTTGTTGCTGTTTTTTCAACAAACCAGCCAAATCCCACCGAAGTAGGGTGGCCCTAAGAGAAAAAAGTTTCTCTTTTTAAGTTTAGTAATATACAGTGGACCCCCGCATAGCGACTTTAATCCATGCAAGAGGGCTCATTGTTATGCGAAATGATCGGTATGCGAATGAATTTTCCCCATAAGAAATAATGGAAATCAAATTAATCCGTGCAAGACACCCAAAAGTATGAAAAAAAAATTTTTACCACATGAAATATACATTTTCCTACACACAAAGAGAAGGATACATGCACAATAGTAGAGTAGTACATGCACACTATATATTGTGCATGTACTACTCTACTAAATGAAGAATAAATGACACTTACCTTTATTGAAAATGCAGCAATGACTGATGAGACACTGTGTCGTGGGAGTGCCTTTTCCTCCCGAGTACTGTAGGTCCTGTTTGGCATTTTCTTCCAGAACAGGCCTTATCACACTGTGTATGCCACTACGATTCTTAAATCTCTCAAACCAACCTTTGCTGGCTTTAAATTCACCAATATGAGCACTAGTTCCAGGCATTTTTCCCTGTTCACCTGGGTGTTAGTCGACTGGTGTGGGTTGCATCCTGGGAGACAAGATTAAGGACCCCAATGGAAATAAGTTAGACAGTCTTCGATGACACTGACTTTTTTGGGTTATCCTGGGTGGCAAATCCTCTGGGGTTAATTGTTTCTTGGTATTCTCAATAAGCCACACCAACAACGGTGCTACAGCAGCAGCAGCAGCTGACAGTGCTACAGCAGCAGCAGCAGCAGCAGCTGACAGTGCTACAGCAGCAGCAGCAGCAGCTGACAGTGCTACAGCAGCAGCAGCAGCAGCTGACAGTGCTACAGCAGCAGCAGCAGCTGACAGTGCTACAGCAGCAGCAGACGATGCTACAGCAGCAGCAGACGGTACTACAGCAGCAGCTGACGGTGGTACAGCAGCAGCAGCAGACGGTACTACAGCAGCAGCTGACGGTGGTACAGCAGCAGCAGCAGACGATGCTACAGCAGCAGCAGACGGTACTACAGCAGCAGCAGACGGTACTACAGCAGCAGCAGCAGCAGCTGACGGTGGTACAGCAGCAGCAGCAGCTGACAGTGCTACAGCAGCAGCAGACGATGCTACAGCAGCAGCAGACGATGCTACAGCAGCAGCAGACGGTACTACAGCAGCAGCAGCAGCAGCTGACGGTGGTACAACAGCAGCAGCAGCTGACGGTGCTACAGCAGCAGCAGCAGCTGACAGTGCAGCAGCAGCAGCAGCAGCAGCAGCAGCTGACGGTGGTACAGCAGCATCAGCAGCTGTGCCACCAATAGTAGCGATGGTTGATTGGGGTTTATTATACAACCTGGCCAGCTCGGAGACACGCACTCCACTTTCATACTTATCAATGATCTTTTTCTTCATCTCTATAGTAATTCTCACCCTTATTGCTGTAGGGTTGGCACTAGAAGCTTTCTTGGGGCCCATGGTCACTTATTTTTCAGATAAAATCACCAAAAACACTGTAATAATACAAAATGTTCCGATTGTATGCTTGGATGTTACCGCGGAGGCTGGCTGGTAAACAATGCCACCGGCGGCACATGTGAGGCTGGCTAAGGGCGCACATTGGACGCGTCTCGGACGAAGAGCGGTGAGCGGGTTTTTGAGCGGTATGCGAGGCAAAATTTTTGCGATAAAAACGAGCGGTATGCGGATTGTACATTATGTGATGGCGACGGTATGCGGGGGTCCACTGTATACAGAAGAGATTACTAGCCCCTTGCTCCTGGCATGTTAGTTGCCTCTTACGACACATCGCTTTTGGAGGAAGAATTCTGTTCCACTTTCCCATGGAGATAAGAGGAAATAAACAAGAACAAGGACTAGTAAGAAAATAGAAGAAAACCCAGAGGAGTGTGTATATATATGCTTGTAAATGAACGTAGAGTGTGACCTAAGTGTAAGTAGAAGTAGTAAGACATACCCAAAATCTTGCATGTTTATTTTTTTTCTTTCAACAAACCGGCCATATCTCACCGAGGCGGGGTGGCCCAAAAAGAAAAACAAAAGTTTCTCATTTTAAATTTAGTAATTTATACAGGAGAAGAGGTTACCAGCCCCCTGCTCCTGGCATCTTAGTCGCCTCCTACAACACGCATGGCTTACGGAGGAAGAATTCTGTTCCACTTCCCCATGGAGATAAGAGGAAATAAACAAGAACAAGAACTAGAAAGAAAATAGCAGAAAACCCAGAGGGGTCTGTGTATATATATGCTTGTACATGTATATGTAGTGTGACCTAAGTGTAAGTAGAAGTAGCAAAACGTACCTGAAATCTTGCATGTTTATGAGACAGAAAAATGACAACAGGACTCATACCATCATGTAAAACAATTACAGGCTTTTGTTTTACACTCACTTAGCAGGACAGTAGTACCTCCCTGAGTGAGTGCTGTCTACTACCCTACTACCATATTTGTTATGGCTAGTATTAGTATTTGTTATGGCTTGTATTTTGGATCATTGTATATGTCAAAAATTCTGCTTTAAGAAGTTTGTTTACTTTCAAGAAAATACATGTGATTTTCATGTAAAAGTAGTATCTTTTAATAACTTGGAGAAAGGTTATGATGAATGTTAACCCTTAAACTGTCCAAACATAGATCTACGTTCACATGTGTAGTGCTCCAAAAGTAGATTTACGTTTTTTACATATTTTCAAATATAAAAAAAAAGTAGATCAAAGTTTTTTACACACTTTCAAATGTAAAAAAAAAAAATTACGTTTTCTTACTTACTTTCAAATGTTGAAAAAATGTAGTTCTACGTTTGGACAGTTTAAGGGTTAAGAAACCTTAAAATTTAATGCACAGTAGAATAGATAGGAAATGGGAAATAAAGAAGAGTGGAAAAGCTGCCAAGTGTTATTAAAACTAACATCTGGGATAAATTTAAAAATAGACTAGACAGTTATGAGTTAGAATAGTTGGGTTTGGGAAGGACCTGTCTAGCATGGGCCGGTATATCTACTGCATTGTTTCTCTATCCATATGTTCTTATGAGAATAAGTTGTAAATGAATACAGTGGAATCTCAAATATCGAACTTTCTTCGATCCAGAAGGCTGTTCGAGTGCCTTTACCGAATGAATTTATTCCCATCAGGAATAATGTAAATTAGATTAGTCCATTTCAGACCCTCAAAAATACACTTATAAAAGCACTTACAAAAATACACTTACATAATTGGTCGTGTTGGGAGCAGTTCGATTTTTGAGGTTCCACTGTAATTGCATTTCTTACAGTGGTTGATGCTTTTCAGTGTGAGCCCGAGGAAAGGGAGCGTGCCTACAGCCGTGGTGATGGGTATGGGTATGCTGCTCCACCGTATGAAACACAGCGGAGTCCAGGAAGCATTGACCACAGAAACGTGTCACAGGATCCTCGATACACTCAGCCAGCTCAGAGTAGAGTAAGAAAGAAGTTTGCTTTTTCCTACAGTTGCTTACTGAAATTAAGAACGCTCATGTAAATTTACCTGTAGTACAATGAACCTTTGATTAAATGGACTAATACAAGGGTGCAGGTGGCTGGTAATGGTGATTATGCTGGATACACATGATTGTTTCACTGTTATCATAAGATTAATGAACAATTCAGAAACTAACAGACTGTTGTTTTTTAATCAGTTGACTCGACGGATTTTGTCCTGTATTTCTGAAGTTCATTTAATCGAGGTCCATTTACTACATATATTATGCATCACCACTTAGTATCACATGGTTCTTAATGTCACAGACTGCCACACAGTGAAATGTTTCACATGTATCTAATTTATCAACTTGTCAGTTCTCTGAACCATTCATCTAGAAATAAAAACCAATACAGTGATACCTCGAGTTTTGAACAGCTCCCAACTCGAACAATTATGTAAGTGTATTTTTGTAAAAAAATTTTTTTTTTTTTCAACAAGTCGTCAGTCTCCCACTGAGGCAGGGTGACCCAAAAAAGAAAGAAAATCCCCAAAAAGAAAATTACTTTCATCATCATTCAACACTTTCACCTCACTCACACATAATCAATGTTTTTGCAGAGGTGCTCAGAACACAACAGTTTAGAAGCATATATGCATAAAGATACACAGCATATCCCTCCAAACTACTAATATCCCGAAACCCCTCCTTTAGAGTGCAGGCATTGTACTTCCCATTTCCAGGACTCGAGTCCGGATATATAAAAATAACCGGTTTTCCTGAATCCCTTCACTAAATATTACCCTGCTCACACTCCAACAGATCGTCAGGTCCCAAATACCATTCGTCTCCATTCACTCTTATCGAACACGCTCATGCACGCCTGCTGGAAGTCCAAGCCCCTCGCCCATAAAACCTCCCTTATCCCTTCCTTCCAACCTTTTCGAGGACGACCCCTACCCCGTCTTCCTTCTCCTACCGATTTAAATGCTCTCCATGTCATTCTACTTTGATCCATTCTCTCTAAATGACCAAACCACCTCAACAAACCCTCTTTAGCCCTCTCACTAATACTTTTATTAACTCCACACCTTCTCCTAATTTCCACACTCCGAATTTTCTGCATAATATTTACACCACACATTGCCCTTAGACAGGACATTTCCACTGCCTCCAACCGTCTCCTCGCTGCTGCATTCACAACCCAAGCTTCACACCCATATAAGAGTGTTGGTACTACTATACTTTCATACATTCCCTTCTTTGCCTCCATAGATAACTTTTTTTTTGACTCCACATATACCTCAAGGCACCACTCACCTTTTTTCCCTCATCAATTCTATGATTAACCTCATCCTTCATAAATCCATCCGCCGACACGTCAACTCCCAAGTATCTGAAAACATTCACTTCTTCCATACTCCTCCTTCCCAATTTGATATCCAATTTTTTTTTATCTAAATCATTTGATACCCTCATCACCTTACTCTTCTCTATGTTCACTTTCAACTTTCTACCTTTACACACACTCCGAAACTCATCTACTAACCTTTGCAATTTTTCTTTAGAATCTCCCATTAGCACAGTATCATCAGCAAAAAGTAACTGTGTCAATTCCCATTTTGAATTTGATTCCCCATAATTTAATCCTACCCCTCTCCCGAACACCCTAGCATTTACTTCTTTTACAACCCCATCTATAAATATATTAAATAACCATGGTGACATTACACATCCCTGTCTAAGACCTACTTTTACCGGGAAGTATTCTCCCTCTCTTCTACACACCCTAACCTGAGCCTCACTATCGTCATAAAAGCTCTTTACAGCATTTAGTAACTTACCACCTATTCCATAAACTTGCAACATCTGCCACATTGCTCTCTATCCACTCTATCATATGCCTTTTCTAAATCCATAAATGCAATAAAAACTTCCCTACCTTTATCTAAATACTGTTCACATATATGCTTCAATGTAAACACTTGATCTACACATCCCCTACCCACTCTGAAGCCTCCTTGCTCATCCGCAATTCTACATTCTGTCTTACCTCTAATTCTTTCAATTATAACCCTACCATATACTTTTCCTGGTATACTCAGTAAACTTATTCCTCTATAATTTTTACAATCTCTTTTGTCCCCTTTCCTTTATATAAAGGGACTATACATGCTCTCCGCCAATCCCTAGGTACCTTCCCCTCTTTCATACATTTATTAAACAAAAGTACCAACCCCTCCAACACTATATCCCCCCTGCTTTTAACATTTCTGTCATGATCCCATCAGTTCCAGCTGCTTTACCCCCTTTCATTCTACGTAATGCCTCACGTACCTCCACCACACTTACATTCTGCTCTTCTTCACTCCTAAAAGATGGTATACCTCCCTGGCCAGTGCATGAAATTACCACCTCCCTTTCTTCCTCAACATTTAAAAGTTCCTCAAAATATTCTCGCCATCTACCTAATACCTCCCTCTCCCCATCTACTAACTCCCCTACTCTGTTTTTAACTGACAAATCCATACTTTCCCTAGGCTTTCTTAACTTGTTTAACTCACTCCAAAATTTTTTCTTATTTTCATTAAAATTTCTTGACAATGCCTCTCCCACTCTTTATCTGCTCTCCTTTTGCACTCTCTCACCACTCTCTCTTCACCTTTCTTTTACTCTCCATATACTCTGCTCTTCTTATAACACTTCTGCTTTGTAAAAACCTCTCGTAAGCTACCTTTTTCCTCTTTTATCACACCCCTTTTCTTCATTCCACCAATCACTCTCTTTCCTCCTGCCCCCACCCTCCTATAACCACAAACTTCTGCCCCACATTCTAATACTGCATTTTTTAAAAAAATATTCCAACCCTCTTCAACCCCCCCACTACTCATCTTTGCACTAGCCCACCTTTCTGCCAATAGTCGCTTATATCTTGCCCGAACTTCCTCCTCCCTTAGTTTATTTCACTTTCACCTTCCTCTTACTTGTTGTTGCCACCTTCCTCTTTTCCCATCTACCTCTTACTCTAACTGTAGCTACAACTAAATAATGATCTGATATATCAGTTTGCCCCTCTATAAACATGTACATCCTGGAGCTTACCCATCAACCTTTTATCCACCAATACATAATCTAACAAACTACTTTCATTACGTGCTACATATACCTTGTATATTTATTTATCCTCTTTTTCATAAAATATGTATTACTTATTACCAAATTTCTTTCTACACATAGCTCAATTAAAGGCTCCCCATTTACATTTACCCCTGGCACCCCAAATTTACCTACTACTCCCTCCATAACATTTTTACCCACTTTAGCATTGAAATCCCCAACCACCATTACTCTCACACTTGATTCAAAACTCCCCATGCATTCACTCAACATTTCCCAGAATCTCTCTCTCTCCTCTACACTTTCAAAATATGTAGTTTAATAACTGCTCACAGCAGTTTGATGTAACGCTCCATCCTGTAGGCTTTAAGGGTTAATGTTCTTTATTACATCCTTTGCAGAAATAGTTTCCTTATTAACCAAACTAGCAGGTTGAATAGGTGTAGAATTAAGATTCTTGCCTGAAATCTCTGTATATTAAGGTGTAATTATGTTGAACTAAGAAATATTCCCAGCTTGTTTATGCTTATATATTGTAAAAAAAATCTTTTATCAGGGTGGGTTGATTGATGTGCTGCATATCAACATAAAGAAAACATTGCTAATCAAATTTCAGAGCAGCTTTGCACCTAGACATTTATATCTGCATCAAGATAAAACAATAATACTATAATTGCTTTATTTTTGTATAGTCACTATTCCACTTCTTCTGCCATGTGAACCAATGTATTCGGTGATAATTTTCAGCTGTGGAGTACTGCAGTAGAAGAGTGCTGTAAATATTGGTAAAGGCATTTAGGGAAAAAGTAACAAATGAAAGCTTGGTTAATTGGTAGTTGACTTCATGTTGATTGTTATTTCTCCTCTCCACCCTGTTTTTAAAGGGTGACAGCCATGCAATAGTGCAGCAGCACTATGACAGTGCCTATCGTCGAGCAGAACAGCAGATAGATACTATAACAAGAGCTGTGGCCTCTGAACGCACTTCTCCTACCAAGCCCTATCCAGCCAGGCCCAAGACGCGGGTAAGCTTTGTATTTTATAAGTATAATTTTGACTGCTCGCTTTGCAGTTGTGTGGACTGTTAAATGTCCTATGTTGTATACTGTACAGTGGAGTCTCAACATTCGTATGTCCCTATGTTCGTACAATTCAATATTCGCCCAAGTTTTTGAGAAAAATTTGACTCGCTATTCAGACGTTGCCCTGATGCTTGACCTAAACAAAATGGCCCATCTGGACGAAGCCCGATGAAAACAAAGCATCATGTACTCAGTCTCTCATCAACTTTTGTTTGTTAAGCATTGTTCGTACAAGCTCTGTTGAACTTTTTGGTATTTCACTGTTATTCTTTTTTGTTATATATATATATATATATATATATATATATATATATATATATATATATATATATATATATATAGGTTGGTAGACAGCAACCACCCAGGGAGGTACTACCGTCCTGCCAAGTGAGTGTAAAACGAAAGCCTGTAATTGTTTTAACATGATGGTAGGATTGCTGGTGTCCTTTTTTCTGTCTCATGGACATGCAAAATTTCAGGTACGTCTTGCTACTTCTACTTACACTCAGGTCACACTACACATACATGTACAAGCGTATATATACATAACCCTCTGGGTTTTCTTCTATTTTCTTTCTAGTTCTTGTTCTTGTTTATTTCCTCTTATCTCCATGGGGAAGTGGAACAGAATTCTTCCTCCGTAGGCCATGCGTGTTGTAAGAGGCGACTAAAATGCCGGGAGCAAGGGGCTAGTAACCCCTTCTCCTGTATATATTACTAAATTTGAAAGGAGAAACTTTGGTTTTTTCTTTTGGGCCACCCCGCCTCGGTGGGATACAGCCGGTGTGTTGAAAGAAAGAAGATATATATATATATATATATATAGGTTGGTAGACAGCAACCACCCAGGGAGGTACTACCGTCCTGCCAAGTGAGTGTAAAACGAAAGCCTGTAATTGTTTTACATGATGGTAGGATTGCTGATGTCTTTTGTCTGTCTCATAAATATGCAAGATTACAGGTACGTCTTGCTACTTCTACTTACACTTAGGTCACACTACACATACATATACACATTTATTCATACACACTCATCTGAGTTTTCTTTGATTTTATCTTAATAGTTCTTGGTCTTATTAATTTTCCTTTTATATCCATGGGGAAGTGGAATAAGAATCTTTCCTCCGTAAGCCATGCGTGTTGTAAAAGTCAACTAAAATGCCGGGAACAATGGGCTAGTAACCCCTTTTCCTGTAAAGATTACTAAAAAGAATAAGAAGAAGAAAATTGTCAAAGTGGGAAGTCTGAATGTGCGTGGATGTTGTGCAGATGATAAGAAAGAGATGATTGTGGATGTTATGAATGAGAAGAAGCTGGATGTCCTGGCTTTAAGTGAAACAAAGCTGAAGGGGGTGGGAGAGTTTCAGTGGAGAGGAATAAATGGGATTAGGTCAGGGTTTCAAATAGAGTTAGAGCTAAAGAAGGAGTAGCAATAATGTTGAAGGATAAGCTATGGCAGGAAAAGAGGGACTATAAATGTATTAATTCAAGGATTATGTGGAGTAAAATAAAGATTGGATGTGAAAAGTGGGTTATAATAAGCGTGTATGCACCTGGAGAAGAGAGAAGTGTAGAGGAGAGAGAGAGATTTTGGGAAATGTTGAGTGAATGCGTGGGGAGTTTTGAATCAAGTGTGAGAGTAATGGTGGTTGGGGATTTCAATGCTAAAGTGGGTAAAAATGTTATGGAGGGAGTAGTAGGTAAATTTGGGGTGCCAGGGGTAAATGTAAATGGGGAGCCTTTAATTGAGCTATGTGTAGAAAGAAATTTGGTAATAAGTAATACATATTTTATGAAAAAGAGGATAAATAAATATACAAGGTATGATGTAGCACGTAATGAAAGTAGTTTATTAGATTATGTATTGGTGGATAAAAGGTTGATGGGTAGGCTCCAGGATGTACATGTTTATAGAGGGGCAACTGATATATCGGATCATTATTTAGTTGTAGCTACAGTTAGAGTAAGAGGTAGATGGGAAAAGAGGAAGGTGGCAACAACAAGTAAGAGGGAGGTGAAAGTGTATAAACTAAGGGAGGAGGAAGTTCGGGCGAGATATAAGCGACTATTGGCAGAAAGGTGGATAGTGCAAAGATGAGTAATGGGGGGTTGAAGAGGTTGGAATAGTTTTAAAAATGCAGTATTAGAATGTGGGGCAGAAGTTTGTGGTTATAGGAGGGTGGGTGCAGGAGGAAAGAGGAGTGATTGGTGGAATGATGAAGTAAAGGGTGTGATAAAAGAGAAAAAGGTAGCTTATGAGAGGTTTTTACAAAGCAGAAGTGTTATAAGAAGAGCAGAATATATGGAGAGTAAAAGAAAGGTAAAGAGAGTGGTGAGAGAGTGCAAAAGGAGAGCAGATGATAGAGTGGGAGAGGCACTGTCAAGAAATTTTAATGAAAATAAGAAAAAATTTTGGAGTGAGTTAAACAAGTTAAGAAAGCCAAGGGAAAATATGGATTTGTCAGTTAAAAACAGAGTAGGGGAGTTAGTAGATGGGGAGATGGAGGTATTAGGTAGATGGCGAGAATATTTTGAGGAACTTTAAATGTTAAGGAAGAAACAGAGGCAGTAAAATTTCATGCACTGGTCAGGAGGTATACCATCTTTTAGGAGTGAAGAAGAGCAGAATGTAAGTGTGGGGGAGGTACGTGAGGCATTACGTAAAATGAAAGGGGGTAAAGCAGCTGGTACTGATGGGATCATGACAGAAATGTTAAAAGCAGGGGGGATATAGTGTTGGAGTGGTTGGTACTTTTGTTCAATAAATGTATGAAAGAGGGGAAGGTACCTAGGGATTGGCGGAGAGCATGTATAGTCCCTTTATATAAAGGGAAAGGGGACAAAAGAGACTGTAAAAATTATAGAGAATAAGCTTACTGAGTATACCAGGAAAAGTGTACGGTAGGGTTATAATTGAAAGAATTAGAGGTAAGACAGAATGTAGGATTGCGGATGAGCAAGGAGGTTTCAGAGTGGGTAGGGGATGTGTAGATCAAGTGTTTACATTGAAGCATATATGTGAACAGTATTTAGATAAAGGTAGGGAAGTTTTTATTGCATTTATGGATTTAGAAAAGGCATATGATAGAGTGGATAGAGGAGCAATGTGGCAGATGTTGCAAGTATATGGAATAGGTGGTAAGTTATTAAATGCTGTAAAGAGTTTTATGAAGATAGTGAGGCTCAGGTTAGGGTGTGTAGAAGAGAGGGAGACTATTTCCCGGTAAAAGTAGGTCTTAGACAGGGATGTGTAATGTCACCATGGTTGTTTAATATATTTATAGATGGGGTTGTTAAGGAAGTAAATGCTAGGGTGTTTGGGAGAGGGGTGGGATTAAATTATGGGGAATCAAATTCAAAATGGGAATTGACACAGTTACTTTTTGCTGATGATACTGTGCTTATGGGAGATTCTAAAGAAAAATTGCAAAGGTTAGTGGATGAGTTTGGGAATGTGTGTAAAGGTAGAAAGTTGAAAGTGAACATAGAAAAGAGTAAGGTGATGAGGGGTCAAATGATTTAGAAAAAGAAAAATTGGATATCAAATTGGGGAGGAGGGGTAGGAAGAAGTGAATGTTTCAGATACTTGGGAGTTGACGTGTCGGCGGATGGATTTATGAAGGATGAGGTTAATCATAGAATTGATGAGGGAAAAAAGGTGAGTGGTGCGTTGAGGTATATGTGGAGTCAAAAAACGTTATCTATGGAGGCAAAGAAGGGAATGTATGAAAGTATAGTAGTACCAACACTCTTATATGGGTGTGAAGCTTGGGTGGTAAATGCAGCAGCGAGGAGACGGTTGGAGGCAGTGGAGATGTCCTGTTTAAGGGCAATGTGTGGTGTAAATATTATGCAGAAAATTCGGAGTGTGGAAATTAGGAGACGGTGTGGAGTTAATAAAAGTATTAGTCAGAGGGCAGAAGAGGGGTTGTTGAGGTGGTTGGTCATTTAGAGAGAATGGATCAAAGTAGAATGACATGGAAAGCATATAAATCTATAGGGGAAGGAAGGCGGGGTAGGGGTCGTCCTCGAAAGGGTTGGAGAGAGGGGGTAAAGGAGGTTTTGTGGGTAAGGGGCTTGGACTTCCAGCAAGCGTGCGTGAGCGTGTTAGATAGGAGTGAATGGAGACGAATGGTACTTGGGACCTGACGATCTGTTGGAGTGTGAGCAGGGTAATATTTAGTGAAGGGATTCAGGGAAACCGGTTATTTTCATATAGTCGGACTGAGTCCTGGAAATGGGAAGTACAATGCCTGCACTTTAAAGGAGGGGTTTGGGATATTGGCAGTTTGGAGGGATATGTTGTGTATCTTTATATGTGTATGCTTCTAGACTGTTGTATTCTGAGCACCTCTGCAAAAACAGTGATAATGTGCAAGTGTGGTGAAAGTGTTGAATGATGATGAAAGTATTTTCTTTTTGGGGATTTTCTTTCTTTTTTGGGTCACCCTGCCTCGTGTGGAGACGGCCGACTTGTTGAAAAAAAAAAAAATATATATATATATATATATATATATATATATATATATATATAATATATATATATAAATATATATATATATATATATATATATATAATATATTTTTTTTTTTTTTTTTTTCAACAATTCGGCCGTCTCCCACCGAGGCAGGGTGACCCAAAAAAGAAGAAAATCCCCAAAAAGAAAATACTTTCATCATCATTCAACACTTTCACCACACTCGCACATTATCACTGTTTTTTGCAGAGGTGCTCAGAATACAACAGTCTAGAAGCATACACATATAAAGATACACAACATATCCCTCCAAACTGCCAATATCCCAAACCCCTCCTTTAAAGTGCAGGCATTGTACTTCCCATTTCCAGGACTCAAGTCCGACTATATGAAAATAACCGGTTTCCTGAATCCCTTCACTAAATATTACCCTGCTCACACTCCAACAGATCGTCAGGTCCCAAG